AGTTTTGGTTTGAAGTCATTTTCTTAGATATTAAAATGGCTACACCAGTTAGCTTCTTAGGCCTATTTGTTTGGGATATCTTTTTCCAACCCTTTCCTCTGAGGTAGTATCTGTCCTGGATGTTGAAATGTGTTTTTTTGTATGTAGCAGAAGAATGGATTCCATTTTAATACTTGTTCTGTTTGTCTGTGTCTTTTTATTGAGGAATTGAGATTATTTAAATTGAGAGATATCAATGAGCAATGATTGTTGATTCCTGTTGTTGTTCATGGTGGTGGATAGTGGCGTGTGTGTGTGTGTGTGTGCGTACATGTGTGTGTGTTTCCCTCCTTTTGATTTTGCTGGTATAGTTGTAGTTAACATCCTTAGGTTGAAGTTTTCCTTCTAGCATCTTCTAAAAAACTTGATTTATAGGTAAATATTACTTAAATTTGTCTTTACCATGAAATGTTTTATTTTCTCCATCTATGGCAATTGAAAGTTTTGCTGGTATAGTATTCTGAGCTGGCATCTGTGTTCTCTTAGCATCTGCAGCACATCTGTCCAGGCCCTTCTAGCTTTTAGAGTTTCCATTGAGAAGTCAGGTATTCTAATAGGTCTGCCTTTATATGCTACTTTGTGTTTGGTTTTGTTCTTTTTACTCTTTTGTTCTTTTGTGGGGACTCACTGCCCAGTTCCCAAATAAATTCACGGAGGCTTATTATTACTTATAAATACCCAACCTTAGCTTATTATTACTTATAAATACCCAGCCTTAGTTTATTATTACTTATAAATACCCAGCCTTAGCTTATTATTACTTATAAATACCCAGCCTTAGCTTGACTTGTTTCTAGCCAGCTTTTCTTAAATTATCCCATCTACCCTTTGCCTCTGCACTTTTTTCTTCTCTTACTTCTGTATAGCTTACTTTCACTTTTACTCTGTGGCTGGCTGGGTGGCTGGCCCCTAGTGTCCTTTCTCCTTCTTCTATCTTGCTCCTCTCTGTCTTTATTCTCTCTGCCTGCCAGCCCTGCCTATCCTTTCTCCTGCCTTGCTATTGGCCATTCATCGCTTTATTAGATCATCAAGTGTTTTAGACAGGCCAAGAATCACAGCTTCACGGAGTGAAACAACTGTAGCATAAACAAAAGCAACGCTTTTTTAACATCATTAAACAAATGTTTCACAGCATAAACAAATATAATACACCTTCAAATAATATTCCACACTGGGTGGTGGTGCACATCTGTATTCCCAGCACTTGGGAGGCAGATGCAAGCGGATTTCAGTAAGTTCAGGGCCAACCTGGTCTACAGAACGAGTTCCAGAACAGCCAGGGCTGTTACACAGAGAAACCCTGTCTTGAAACCCCTCCCTCCCAAAGTAACATTCCACATTACTTGGTGTTCTTCTCTTGAAGCTTTCAATATTCTTTGTTCTGCACATTTAGTGTTTTGGTTATTATGTGTCAAGGGGACTTTCTTTTCTGGTCCAGTCTATTTATTGTTCTGTATTCTTCTTGTGCCTTTATAGACACTTCTTTCTTTAGGTTAGGAAAATTTTCTTCTATGATTTTGTTGAAAAGATTTTCTGGACCTTTAGCCTGGGATTCTTCTCCTTCCTCTATTCCTATTATTCTTAGATTTGGTCTTTTCATAATGTCCCAGGTTTCCTGGATGTTTTGTGTCAGGGGTCTTTTAGATTTAGTATTTTCTTTGATGTTTCTGTTTCTTCTATTGTGTTTTCAGTGACTGAGAGTCTCTCTTTCATCTCTTGTCTTCTGTTGGTGAAGCTTGCCTCTGTAGTTCGTGTTCGAATTTCTAAACTTTTCATTTCCAGAATTCTCTCGGTTTGGGTTTTCTTTATTGATTCTATTTCCTGTTTCAGGGTATGGACACTTTTATTCATTCCTGTTCAGTGTTTGTATTTTCCTAGATATCTCTAAGGGATTTATTCATTTCCTCTTTAAGGATCGCTACCATTTTCATACAGGTGGTTTTAAGGTCTCTTTCTTGTGCTTCGTCTATGCTTGAATACTCAGGACCTGCTGAATCCTACAGGACCTGTAGGACTGCCAGGCTCTAGTGGAGACATATGGTCCTGGTTGTTATTGATTGTGGTACACAGGTATCTAGGCATCTGGGATTGTGAAGATTATAGGTCTAGGTGCTGCTATCTGGTCTTGTCTTTGTTAAGTTGGTTTGGTTTCCTCTCTGGGTTTTAGAAAAGTGCAATGTTTATGTTACCTGGTAGAAGATTCTCTGTGAACCCTATGGATGTGGCCGTGGGGGATACAGGTAAAATGTGTTTCTGGGTACTGGGAGCTGACACTTAGGAATGGGGATGGGCTAGGGGTCCTCAGCGGTTCACAGGAGGGAGGAGAGCAGAGTGTTCCATGGGGATCTGCTTGTTTAGTACCCTTGGAACAGGGAGCATGTAGAGAGGTCACCCAAAGGGACCTGTGGTGCTGCGGGTGAGGAGAGAGTGGTGGTCTTCAACTGGCTTCCCTGTTTTCCTGACCTGCTCGGCTGATGGGTCCCCATGGAGTGCCTGCCAGTGGTGGAGGCTGGGGTGAGATGGGAAAGGAAGGTTGGAGGGGATCTTTTTGATCCATCAAGGATGGGGTTAGAGAGGGAAACTGAAGTAGGTGATCTGTTACAGAGCTGGGCGTGAAACTGGGGATTGGATCTGGAGAAGGAGAGGTGAAGATCTACATCAGCCTACTTTCTTCTCTGACAGGAGATGAATGCCACCAAACCCTTTACAAAGCGACCCACAGTGAGGCAGGGTGGTGCACAGTGCACAACTTTCACTACTTTTTTGTTGGGCCTCAGCTTCAAGGACAGCTTGGTTGGTTACCCTTTAACATTCATGCCTTTTCTTCTAGAGAAAAGGGGAAAGCAGTGAAAAACAGAAATCTTGGTGCAGAGGGCTCCAGCAATTCGGGGAACTACTCCCATAGACTTTAGTGGTTCTCAAAGTTTCTTTGGCACCAAAGTGAGGTGACTGTGGTATGTTTTGTAGTTTATATGTTATTAGTAAAAAAAAAAAAAAAAAAAAAAAACTCCTCCATTAATACATAAGCTTCCAAAATCAGTCAGGTAGAAAGAACAAGACAGTCCAGAAACGTCTCAAAGAATTGTAGTCTATCAATTGGACTCAGGGCCTGAATGGGGGAGACCCCAAGTCAGAGAAATCGTAGAGATTAGAGAGGGCGAAAGGATTATAAGAACAAAGTTGGAAGGCTCTATGAATTGTGATGAGGTTTATGTGAGATCATTCTGCAGGTGTGCATTGTTACAACAATAACCACATCTGGCTTCATGGAATCTTCCTGTGATCCCAGCACTGGGAGGCTGAGAGGAACAGCACCATTTCATGGCCAACACAGGCTCCCTCGTCTCCAAAAGACCAAACAAATGAACAAATCAACAGGTAAGTAAAAGAGTCAACTCATGCCTTCAAGTTGCTTTTTGTCATTGGGGTAACCAACTGCTCTCTAGAGCCACGAGAAGAATGACATCACCTAGGGTCAGTTATCAGTGTCTGGGAAGTGGGTACAGGATGGAGACACAAAACCACAGCGCTCATCTTGAAGGGGACCATGGCCTGGGAACACACATTTAGGTTGCCTTAAATTCCCTGCTCCTAGGTGGAAGCAGTTTCACAGAACGGTGAAAGCCGTAAACCAAGGCAGATTTAAAATACTTTGGTGGATACATCAGAGAGGCAGGTACAGCAAGGTGGAGGAAGCTTTTCTCTGATGATGTTCTTAGCTCCTGGGTTGCTAGATGCTAGTGATCTGCTAAGTTACCAGATTGCACCAGATTTCTGTCTGTTAAGTCACAGTCTGCTGCTCAGCCGCTGACCCAGCTAGAAATGGCTGTCGGGGAGGCCAGAATTAGCCCAGACGATGTCTCAGCCTCTGGGCCTGCAGCATTCCAGTCCCCCCACAGTACTGGAAGTCTAATCAGTCAGTCTCTGTGAGGCTTCCTTCAGGAGCAGGGGTGGGAGCCGCAGAGCAGGAGCCCACCCTGTCTCTCCACATCCTCTAATGTGGCTTATACAGGCCACTAAACATCTCGTGACTTCAATTTTGTTATAAAACTGGAGGACTAGTCCTGAACCCCATCTGGTAAAGAGGTCAGAGAGCCACATGAAGTGACGTATGTGAAAATGACCTAAAATGGAAAACCAACTGTCTAGATCCTCAGATCGCCACAGCTCCTTCCCAGACCTGTTCCTCTAGCTGAGGTAGACTCTGTGCCTTCTATTCGGTCAGGTTAGCAGAGGGCAGGTGAGGTCTAGCCTCTGCCACTCCTGAATGAACCATAGCTCAAAAGTAAAGTCAAAAATTCAGAAACCTTGTGGATGACAGAACTCGGAACCCTGCCCAACAACTAGAGAAAACACCTATGTAAGGGTGGATCCGGCGAGTGTCTTTGTAGTCTTATCAATCCCCTGGTGATCGAGCAGGAGAAGGGAATACCCACACTGTGAGCTGACTGGCTTTATTCATCCTGTGTAGGAGCTGGTGAACTGTTCTCCTTTGGGTAATGTATTTCTTGGCCCAAGTAACTACATTTACAAAATCTGGACTTTTTTTTTCCAACTGCAAATAGTCAAATGAAATCATAAAACACTTGTAACCTGTGTAAAGCAGTGTGGGAAAGGTGGCCCGAATAAAAAAAGAAGCAGAACACCAGAAACTAACATTCTGGAAGCGATAGGAAAAGGCTTAAGTGTAGAAAACAAGACTAACAAGGCTGGAAATTCATGCGCAGGGTCAGAGGGGTCTAGACCACAGGTAAGTGGGCATAACTCAGGGCGGAACAGCTGATTGATAAAATAAACTGCCTACACTTTCCCTGGGCCAGAAAACACTTCCTGTCCTGGTCTAAATTGCTTGACTTCAAAGTGTTTGTGGGAGCAGAAATGCAAATTAGCTGATTGAGTGTGTTCTGTGCTGGGAAGAAGGGGAGAGGGTTCAGGAAATGCTGCTGTGTTTAAAAGCCCATGGCACACAAGGGGATAGATTTTTATGGAGAGTGGCTTCTGGGAACTGCTCACAGAGAAGAAAGCTACCTCAGGGCAGAACCAGGGGCACAGAAAGAGCCAGGACTATCTGAAGCTGCTTACAAGTATTGGTAAGCCACAGACAGCAGCATCCCATGCCTGGGGAGCTCTCTGCCTGCTGAGCAGAGCTGCACCCCGTCTGATTTCAGTCTTCCCACACTTCTTTCCTCATTCTTCTGGTTAGCTTTAGTAAAGAAAAGCTCTCCTGGTCTATTTCTCACTGGTCTGTTCTGGCAAGCCTCTAATATTGTCATAATCTCTTGAGTCCATGACAACCAGCAGGCACACTGTAGCATTTCCACATGTGGGGCCCAGGGCAACATTGCCACCGAGGGATGGATGCCAGCTTTGGCCAAGAGCATAGCGTTTCGATTTCCTCAAAGCTGGGCAGTTGCTGAGCAGGATGGCCAGTTAGACGCCTCCTGTCTCATCATTAGAGTCTGCTGGTACCCGGCATGTCATTCCTGCTTTTCATGCCAAGGTGGAACCCGGAGTCGGTGACTTCAAAGGCCCTTCTTCTTTTCAGCTGTCATCCTCCTGCCTCAGCTGTGGGACAGGACCAGGCGAGAGCAGCCGCCAAGGCAGCTGGAGAGGGAGAAGGCACTACTGCCTTTCTTCCCCCACTAGAAACGGAGCTCGGATGACAAGTTTAGCAGAGACCCCAGCCGTGGCTTAGCAGAGACCCCATCCGTGGCTTAGCAGAGACCCCAGCCGTGGCTGCACGTTTCAGAAGCTTTACTTTCAGAGTGAGAATGAACCTAGGACTTTTTGATCCATTTGTATCTCTTTTGGGGAGAAGGAAGTAAGTCTGAGATAAGAAATGGATACAGTGTCTACTATGATGAGCCCAGTCCTTTACCTGGAGCAAGGTTTTCTGTAAGGATTTCTCAACACTCATTTAGCTTAGCTATCCTCTCTGGTGATTAGGAAGTCGTTTCTGTTTAAGAAGTGACTGGTGTCCTGAGTTCCTTGCTCATGCTCTCTCTCCTTCTGCTCCTGATTTGGACCTTGAGATTTCTGTCCGGTGCTCTAATGTGGGTCTCTGTCTCTGTCCGGTGCTCTAATGTGGGTCTCTGTCTCTGTCTCCTTTCATCACTTGCTGAAGGTTAATATTCAGGAGGATGTCTATATGTTTTTCTTTGGGTTCACCTTATTTAGCTTCTCTAGGATCACTAATTATAGGCTCAATGTCCTTTATTTCTGGCTAGAAACCAAATATGAATGAGTACATCCCATGTTCCTCTTTTTGGAGGNAATTTTTAAGTATAGAAGTCATAATGTAATGGTTGCTCTAACAATTGACTTTTTATAGGTCAGTGTATATATATCATGTTCTGTGAATTCATGGACGCTTTAAGGCTTAAAGTGTTGATGGTTTTCTTCTCACCAGCAGAGGGCGTGCGTCACAGCCTGGGATGACTGAAGAAAAAGAACAGTTGAATTAGAAAGGAAAGTTTAAATAGCCCTGGACTTCCCACAGGGCAGGGAACCCTGATTGCTCTTTGGGCTGACTAGGGAGGGGCACTTGATTGGGGGAGGGGGAGGGAAATGGGAGGCGGTGGTGGGGAAGAGACAGAAATCTTTAATAAATAAATAAATACATAAAAAAGAAAAAAAAGAATTGACTGGGTGCCCTGGGGCTAGAGCTCAGAGCGAGAGCTCTGGCTTAGCCGGTGCAAGGCGAGAAAAGACAGAGCCGTAGCAAGTTCCCTTACTGATTCCTCAGATGCAAACCTGTTTAAGACCGTTTCTACCGGTCACCTTCCAATCCTCAAGACCCACACCTTTTACACATGAAAGGGGAATTTGGTGAGGAGAGGCAAAAGTAATACTCAAAAAAGAGACTCATTGTCTTGGGTGGGTAGAGTGCTGTGGATTGGGTGGAGGACCTGAGGCACGGGTCAGAGTTCACATCTACATCAAGCCTTCCTTTCCCCCTCTTCCCCAGGCAGAATGAAGGTGACTGTGGTACACACGTTGTTTATGGTGTTGCTGTTGCTGCTAGGCCTGGGGCTGGGCCTGGGCCTCGGCCTTCACATGGCTGCTGCGGTCTTGGATCCACCACTGAGTGAGTTCTGGCCTGGTGGCTCTGAGGGCACAGCTGAGGCCACTGAAGAGGGAGAAGGCACAAGGACCACAGAAGCCCTGGTGCTGGGCTACAAAGAAATGGCACAGCCTGTCTGGCCAGAAGAGGCTGTCCTCGGGGGAGATGAGGTCGGAGGAAGCAGAACGCTGTCTCAGAGCTACCTCAGGTTTGACCTGAGCCCCAGGGACTGTAACACCATGATGGCCCCCAAGATGAAGGAGCATAACCGCAGCTGCATAAACCAATACACATTCATCCATGAAGAGCCAAGCACAGTCAGGGCAGTCTGCGACAGCCCTGTGGTTACCTGTAACCTCAAGGGACTCAAATGTCACAAAAGCCCCCGTCCTTTCGATCTGACATTGTGTAAGTTGGCCAAACCAGGCCAAGTCACGCCCAACTGCCATTATCTGAGTTATATCATGGAAAAGGTCATTATCATAACATGCAATGACACGAAGCTGCTGGAGCTTAACTGAGGGCTCACGCCTTTCCCTTCCCTTTGCATTCCCCTTTGCTGACGCTTCTGCCCCCACTTGGGTGCGCTGTAGAGAAGTCCTGGGAAGAGAGGATGAACCACTATGATCTTTGTCTTCTGAAAATATAATTATTCTCCGTGTTAGGGGTCGTCCAACTGGCATTTTGTTCTGGGGGTCAGAAATGGCAACACAATGACTAGTTTCTCCGAGATGTCTCTCACCTTCCACCCTGCCCTAGAAAGGCCGAGCAGTAGATAGACCCTCCCTTAGCCGTGGTCAGCAGCCTGATCCCCGGACTGAGTAAAACCCGGGTATGACTAGTTTCTCCGAGATGTCTCTCACCTTCAACCCTGCCCTAGAAAGGCCGAGCAGCAGCCTGATCCCCGGACTGAGTAAAACCCGGGTATGACTAGTTTCTCCGAGATGTCTCTCACCTTCAACCCTGCCCTAGAAAGGCCGAGCAGCAGCCTGATCCCCGGACTGAGTAAAACCCGGGTATGACTAGTTTCTCCGAGATGTCTCTCACCTTGAACCCTGCCCTAGAACGGCCGAGCAGCAGCCTGATCCCCGGACTGAGTAAAACCCGGGTATCCTTTACCTGTTTTCTTCACTGCTGCCCTCACGGGGCCTCTGTGGTACTCACAGACTCCTGGGTAATCTCATTGTCCTGTGCAGGATAATGCTCTTCTCAGATGCAATTAAAATGATTCTATCTGGGACTGTGTCTGAAAGTCACATGGTTAGGCAGAGCCTGCTGACAAGGTGGTGCAAGAGGAACCAGTGCCTGGGTAAGGACCCACTTTTCTCCCCATTCCCCTCCCCTTTCTGCTCCTATTTTCACAATCTTTCTTTTTGTTCCTCTTTTCTTTTTCCTTCGTTTCTTTCTTTTCTTATAGTTTTCTGTGTTCTTCTTTTCTTCCACCTTTTTGTGTGTGTGTGTGTGGGGGGGGTCCTTGTTTCTCCAGATGTTTTTTGAGCCACTCAGTCAGCTAATATGTGTTAACTGGGTTATATTGGGAAAGACTGAGTCTGGCATGGGTAGTTAGAGGTTAGATGGAAAGAAAGGAAGACAGGGAGGAAGAAAGGAAGGAAGGAAGGAAGGAAGGAAGGAAGGAAGGAAGGAAGGAAGAAAGATAGAAACAGCTGTTCTTGGTTGTCAAGTTGACCACATCTGAGATTAACTACACCCCAAGCAGCTGGGTGCACCCGTGAGGGTTTTTTCTTAGTTAAATCATTTGAAAGGGTCTTTAATCTGGGTCTTTTGAGGTGGGAAGATCTACCTTTGATCTGTGCCACATATTATGGTGCAGCCCAGACAAAGGACATGGAAGAAGGAAGCTCTCTCTCTTAGCTGGCTGGCCCTCACTCTTTCTGACAAGCTCATTACTTCACTGGCGTTAGAGCCTATTTCTTCAAGGTTCCATTGTACACTGAAGACTGGCTGAAGACATCCGGCCTCATGGATTGAACAACTACTGAATTCTTAGACTTTCTATTGGTAGACAACCATTGTTGGACTAGCTGGACCATAGCTTGTTAGTCATTCTAATTGATCCCAGATCCACACTTTCCCAATACCCTGCCTCTGCTTACTACACTTCAGTTAGATATTAGCCAGCTTTCTGTTACTGTCATAAAAGACCTGAGAACTAACTTATAAGGAGGAAGTATTCATTTTGGGTCCCCTGGAAGAGCAGCAGGAGCTCTTAGCCACTGAGCAAACTCTCCGGCCCCTACACTTTGCTTTTGGAAATCCAAAAGGTTCCAAGTTCCAAAAAGCACAGGCTTCAAAAGTTTCAGGTCTGGAACATTATCCAATTAGCCTTTGATGGATTTGTTTACATTGACATCTCTGTGGCAGCAGCTCTATTACACGTTTCTTCCATGTTCTTCGTCAGCACATTTCCAGGTCCCTGACAGTGTATTCAGTGACTGCCCATCCAGTGCCTCCTCGGAAGCTGTAATAACTACAGTGAAACATAAGCTCCCGTAGGGGACCTGAGAAATCCGATCCTCGTCAAGCACTGGGCAAGCAATGTTTCCCAGGTCTTTAGATGGACTCTTTCTTCTCTAAGTCAGGCAGGAAGAAAACTACCATGTCTATCCTGCTCACTCCTACACGCTTTCCTAGATGCCTTTGGTTTTACTAAATTACATTTAACAGAAAAGTCACAAGCTCAAGGAGGCCCACTGTATTGGTGATGTTGCTGTTGCTATAACAAAATACCTAGAGCTAGGCATTTATAAAGAAAAAGGTTGCTTTAGCTCACAGTTTGGGAGGCTGAAGACCCACGGGTGTGGTATTTCATTTGGGTGTGGTGTCAGAGTGAGGACCTGCCACAGTCTCGGGCCTTTGAGCACTTGAGACTCGGGCCTTTGAGACATAAAAAGCCTCATGTCACTTCCAGTTTGACCTCCCTGTTTCATGCTGGTGGCTGAAAATGTGAGTTCTCAGCTTCCTGTTCCTGCAACCACACCCACTGCTTCTGTGAGGCCGGAAAAGATTCCATTTTGGTGCTGGGACCTTGTGGGACTTTGAGCTTCACCCCAACTCCTGAGAAAAGCCTCCTTCTAGAGAAAGTCTTAGCTAATGGGGAAAACCAAGTCACACAAAACTGCTGCCCACCTAACTTCCCCTATGGACTGAGCAACAATGGGCCAATCAGATAAGTTTCCAGCATCCCCTGTGGTGAGCAAAGGGTCAGCACATGTCCCAGAGACGTGACCAGGGACAGTGGCTATGGGTGAACAACGCCCCCCCCCAGGCAATGACAGCTATCAGAGAATAATAAGCTTTACCTCACCCTTAGCCAATTATGATATAGGATAAGTAATTTTGTACTTTGAGACTGTAGTCTTGGGCATGGAATCACACCTGATGTAGATGTATAATCAACTCCTATGGCTAAAGTCTGACTTATGCCTGATCACGCAATGATCATCAGCTGCTTGCATATGCGTGGGCCTATGGGCAGTGCCCACCTGGCAATCTGGGATTGGCAGCCCATGCCTACTTAAGGGCTGGGAGAGGTTTGCCCGAGGAAAAAGGAGAGAAGTCAAAGAGAGAGGAGAGAGAAAGAGAGAGAAAAAGAGAAGGAGAAGGAGATAGATTGCTGTGAATAAAGTCCTGAAAACTGCTGCAAGAAGAGCTCCGGGTGTCGCGTGTCATCCTTGCGGGACAAGGGTGGGCCGTGACAGTCTTGTGATTGCTTTGTGGTTTTTGTACTTATAAACTCCTTACAATAGTAGATGGGGTTCTTCTCCCTCCATCTGCTGTCGGGGGCCCGTGCTAGCCCGCACATAATAAAAGAAACCTTGCTTTTGCATTTGGAAGTGTGGCTCCCTGGTGGTCTTCTTGGGGGTCTCGGGACTTAGGCACAACACTCGCCTCTATGCCTCTCCACCGTGATGGACTCTATCCCCTCTGGAGCTACAAACCCCAATAAACTCTTCACGATATAAGTTTCTTCTGGTCATGTGTTCTATCATAGCCACAGCTGATACACTGAGAAACACCATCAGTTCAGCCTGTGATGAGGCTCCTTCAGCTGGGTCCTGACATCGTAGACATCACGGTGCACAAGAGAGGCACGTAGACCAAGACAAGAAGCTAGAGACCGAAGAAGGAGAAAGCTTTGCTCTTTTATGACAGCCTGTTTCTGTGAGAGCCAACTTCTCTGTGTGACCAGCATTGCCCCTCTCAGGAGCAGCAGCACCAGGGACCTAACCACCTCTCACCAGGCCTCACCTCTTAAAAGTTCTTCAGTACTGAGACCCCGAAGAGCAAGCCTCTAACACAGGAACACTTCAGGAACAATCCTCACCAAACCACAGTCCCCGCTTCTGTTAGCCAAGACGGCCCAGGTTATCAATGGCTGCTTGCCCCTCAGAGAAGCTCACTGCACTTCCCCTCTCCCGTCTAAGGTGTTCCTGAGTTTGTGCTCCTGTGCTCAAAGGGACAAGATTCGGCTCCACATAAACTCTGAGGGCTTGGATTCTGTAGTGGTATGCTTCTTGTGCCAATCAAAAAGAATTTACAAGCTTGCATGGGAGTACATACTTGTAATCTCAGGACTGAGGTAGAAAGCTATTGAATTCAAGGCTAGCCCTGGGATAGCCTTAGAATTCTGGGAAAGGCTGAGCAGCAGAGAAAAATATGCTTCAAAAAACTCTACAGATTATCTATCATCTATCTATCTATCTATCTATCTATCTATCTATCTATCTATCTATCATCTATCTTTTCTATACACACCTACACACACTAAGCAATTTTATAAAATTATCCTATTACTTATTATTTGAAACTTTTATACAATATATTTTTAAATAATATTTTTCATATAATATATTCTGATCATGGTTTCTGCTCATTTCCTCATAGATCCTCTCATCCTTCCAGCTCTATGCTTTTTTTACTTTCTTAAAACAAACAGGCAAATAAAAAAGATAGGCAATCAAGAATAAAATAAACTAGCAAATGAACAAATGGGAAGAAATCAAGAGGATGAGAGATATATACATATGCAGACACACAACCCATAAAAACACAAAATCAGAAACCATAATATATAAGCAAAAGACATTTAAGGTAAAAAAAAAAACCGCTCAAACAAATCAATATGAGACAAAAAAGTATCTCTAAAAATGCCATTCAGTTCACCTCTTGTTGGTCGTACACTGCTGGATCTGTGAACTGCCCTTTAAATGCAGTCTGTACACCCAGTGAAATGCCCTTGGAGAGCACTGACTTTTCCTCTGCAAGCAGTTATCAACTGGAGATAGACTCTAACTTGGGGATGGGAGCTCCTATCTACTTACCCTCTCAGCGCTGGACCCACATCTGGTGGCCCTGTGTGTGCTGCCACAGTCCCGCTGAATCAGGAGGACTCACTCGTCCTTGGAGCCGCCCATCCCCTCTGACCTGTACACGCTACCACAGTCTGTGCAGCAGTCCCGCTGTGTCTGGAGGACTCTGTCCTTGGAGTCGCCCACACCCTCTGGCTCTTACAGTCTCTCTGCCTCCTTTTCCATGTAGCTCTGGAGCCCTGTGGGGAGGGGTTTGATGAAGGCACCACATTTAGAACTGAGTGTTCCCAGGTATCTGAACATTGCCCAACTGTGGGTCTCTATAGTAGTTTCCATCTACTGCAGGAGGAGGCTTGTATGTTAATGTCTGCGTCAGACACACTGATCTAGCAGAATGTTATTAGGAGTCAATTTATTGCTATGTTCCCTTAATAGAATAGCATTGTGGGATATTACTTTAACTAGGCAAAGACGTATTACACTTGTTTATACTGCAGAATACTTAACTGCGTAAAGGTGCTGTTGACAATGGTCTGTACCC